TGATGGGATGTGGTCCATGGCATGGCACAGGACATGGCACAGTGGCATGTGGCATAGGATGTGGCACATGGCACAGTGTGGCACACATGGCACACATTGTGTGACATGGCAAGGTGTGGTGTCCCATGGCATGGCCTGGTGTTGCCAGCCATGTGCCGTACCATGGTGTGGCACACAGCCCATGGCACACACGGCCCTCTGTGACAGCCCCTGGCACAGTCTGGGCCGTCGCCACAACCACACCAAGTGCAGTGTCCCTGCAGTGTGACCAGGGCCACCGTGGGGACCAGGCCACCCACTGCCACCAGTCCCGCTGAGTCAAAAATCCTAAGACCGGGTCATGTGTCCCCATGGAGTCACTCGTTCCCTGTGTGCCGTGTGCCGGTGCCCGCCGGGCTGCCTGGCTGTGCCGTGGGCACCCTGCCTGAGTCAGTCACAGCAACGTCGCCACCGGGACGGCCACCACCGCCCTGGCACCTGGGGACACTCCTGGGGGGACAATGTCACCATGAAGCAGCCCGGGCTGGCCTGGTGTGCTGTGGGTGACCGTGGCTGTGACCGTGACTGTGACCGTGACTGTGCCACCGCCGAGCCGCCCACCCAGCTCCGGAGGGGCTGTGGAGGGGAGGGCACAGGTACGTGACCCCCCGGGAGCGCGTGGAGGGGTGGGTGACACCCTGGGCTGAGGGTCACCAGAGGGACACTGGCTCTGTAGGGTCCTCATGGGGCTCCCAGGGCAATCCAGTGCCCACCTGTGGGAAAAGCCACCCTATGGTGGGGATATTGCTTGGCCACAGTCCCCGAGGGCAGCTCACGCTGCCACAGCCACGGGGTCCCCAAACACGGCAGTGGGAAGCAGCACAGTGTCTGCCTGGGGGTGACATGTGTGGGGTGGCACCGGTGAGGGAGTGCAACTGCTAGAGTGTCACTGATGGGGTGATACCTCTGGGGTGACATTTGTAGGGTGGCACTGACGGGGCACAGGGGCAGGGGCGAGGCAGCCCTGGGCAGGGAACCATCGTGAGTCAAAGGGGAATTCGGTCCCCACCTTTGGGGAGCTCCGGATTTCCCCGGGACAGGGGCACCTACCTTACTCATCCCTTCGTCACCACCCCCCGGCAGGGCCCCCCCAGACACCCCCAGACCCAGCACAGCCTCATCCCACACCTGTGGGACCCCCCGGGGGCTCCGGTGATGCTGGAACCTGGGTGTCCCCCCCTGCACCTGGAGAGCAAGGAGTGGGATCCTGAGGGGACCCTGAGGGGCTGTGGGATGGGGCACGGGGGGCAATTATGGGGTGGGGCAGTTCTGGGATGGGGCTGAGGCAGTTCTGGGAGGGACTGGAGAAGGGGGGACGATGGTGGGGTGGGGAAGGACGGGAGGGGACAGTTGTGGGCTGGGGAGAGGAGAGATCTGGGATGGGGACGAGGCAGGGTGGTAGCGCCGGAGCAGGGATGGGATGGGAATAGGGCAGTTCTGGGTGGGAATGGGGCAGAGGGGGCAACTATGGGATGGGGAGAGGCCAGTTCTGGGCTGGGGCAGCAGGGGGCAGCACGGGGACAGGGATGGGGACAGGGATGGGGACAGGGATGGGACAGGGATGGGACAGGGATGGGGACAGGGATAGGGACAGGGATGGGACAGGGATGGGACAGGGATGGGGACAGGGATAGGGACAAGGATGGGACAGGGATGGGACAGGGATGGGCCGGGGGGGCAGCACGGGGACAGGGATGAGAGGACAGCATGGGGACAGGGATAGGGACAGGGATGGGGACACGGATGGGGTGGAGGGGCCACACGGGGACGGGGAAAGGGATGGGGGTGTCTGGGATGGAGCTGGGGACAGTTACGGACGGGACGCGGCAGAGGGGACAGCTCGGAGTGGGGCAGAGCAGCAGCACGGCAGCGGTGGCCTTGGAACAGCCCGGGCTGTTTTCCCATGGGAGCATCACTCCCCACAGAGGTCCAGTATCTCCCCATGGGTGGGTTTGTCTTTTTTCCTAGAGAAAGCCCACCCTTTAATCCCAATACTTTTGCCCAAAGGGATGAACCACCAGCAGGCTTGGGAACATTGATGCCACTGTGTCCATCCCACCATGATCAGGGTCCCTCACCCCTCGGGGAACCCCCACTCCACCTCCCTGCACCTTTCACCCCCCCAGACTTCCCCCAAACATTTCTAGCACCCTAGAAAATCGATTATAAATGGGAACCCAAAGCCCAGCTCAGCTCCAGCCTGGCTGAGTTGCTCCTGAGAAATTCAGGAAAGGGCAAATCCTGCCCAGAACCCCCCCAGGACGTTCCCCAGTGCTATTAATTAACTTTATTAATTCCTCAGTTAATTAAATGCGTCAGGCCATCAGATGTCCATCAGTATGTGATGTGCTGCTCCCCAGACCCCAATAAAACTGAGTTGAGGCCGTGGGGGGGGTGGGTGATGGGGCTCATCCTCGCTGTCCTTTGCAGCCCCCAACCCCATTCCTGACATCCCAGTAAGGCCAGACTGGGCTAAACTGGGCTTTGCTTGCTGGGGCATCGATGCCATCAGCAAACCAGGCTGGTTCTCGCCTGGGGAAACTGAGGCAGCAGCAGACGTGGACCACCAAGCACAGGGGGGTCTCTGTGTCCCCCCTCTTCATGTCCCCCCCTCCACAGGGGGACAGCCGGGGTCGTGGTGGCTCTTGCGTCACCGTTCCTTGACTGTCACCGCCGGGTTCACCTGCCAGGGCGCAAACTTGCTAAACCTGATTAAAGTTTCAGCTCGGCCTGGGCGAGAAAAAAGTATAGAGAGGGACAAAAAAATCCATTTAACCTGTTTTTCACCCAAATCGGGGAATGGACAGACCTGCAGTGTCCTGATCCCATGGGAAACCCAGGAAAGGATGACCCAGTACCCTCCTGTCCGCACCAGCACCCTTCTGCCCGCACCCAGCACCCTCCCGTCCACTCCAGACAGGGGCCAGCCCCGCCGAGGGAAGGGTTAACCCTGGGGGGCCGGTCCAGCCTCTCCCCCTGGGTGGGTTTGTCCTTTTTCCTCCAGAAAACCCACCCTTTACTTATAATATTTTTGCCCAAAGGGATGAGCCACTGGCGGGCTGGGGGACACCGGCGCCCACCGTGACTGAGGGGTGCGGGACCCCACCACCAACTTCCCGCATCTTTCATCCCTTTAAAACCCCCCAAAAACCCCAAATCAGACTTTCCCCCCTCCTTTATTTTCCTGCCTGCTCCGCAGGCAGCGGTGAAAGTGTTTGTGGCTCCGTGATTGACGGCACCGCTCGCCCTCGACACCCCCAAACCCCACGTGCGGCCGCTCTCCTCCCCTGGGGGGGCTTTAATTCAACTTTCCCTTCCCACTCACTTCCCCAGCACCTCCCCGAGCCCGCGCATGAAACGAAAAAAAAACCGCACAAAACCGGGTGAATCAACTTTATTCTAAGAATCATTCAGGCTTTCCAAGCCTGCTTTCCAGTTTCAAGAGAACGATAGCGGGTGCTTCAACCCCCCCGCGTGTCCCCCCTCCTCTCTTACAACACAGGCAGGCCGGACCGGTATATAAACCCCGAGAAGTCCCCCAGTATGAACATGAATTTCTGAAAACTTCCTCTGCCAACACCAATCCCTATTAAGTCGCTCCCGGGACGCGGCTCACAATGAAGTTCATGCCAGCAGGTAAAAAAAAAAGAAAAAATCAACTTTGAGGATATTATTTCCCCTTCTCCCCCTTCTTTTTTCCTTCCCCTCCCCTCCTTTTCCCGATGATGCTCGGGTGCAGGCGGGTCCCGGTTTTGATGCCACCGCTGGAGCTGGAGCGAGGGCTCCCGCCGCGTTGCGTTCCCCCTCGGGATGAGCATCTCTGGGAATTGGCAGCGGGAACGAAGCGCGGCGCTGGCGCGGTGCAGCCAACATCTGGACACTTATATAACTGGAAATGCTTCCAAGAAAAAAAAAAATCTCAAGGAGGGGGGAGAAACTTTTTTTTTTAATGGCTTTTTTGTACTTTTTAATACTTTCCCCCCCCCCTCCTGCTTTTCCTCCTTCTGCGTCTCCTGATGCCGTGTCGGGAGCGCTGGAGGGATGGGGAGGCTGCCAAGTGCAAGAGGGGGAGTTGGAGGGAGCAGCCCCCACCCCAGCGGCAGTGCTGGGGGGTCCCAGGGCCCCTGGCACACGTGGGTGCTCAGCTGTGAGAGGGGGAGAAGCAGCGGCCGGGGGGAGAAGCAGCGAGAGGGGCTTGCGGCGGGGTCAGGGAATCTGCATCCCGTGGGAACACTCAGGACCCGGGGGGCGCGGGGAGGAAGGGTCCCCCCCGTCCTGTGCAGGAGGGGAGCGGCGGCGGGTCAGGGATCGCAACACGCCCAGGTAAGTCCTTCCCCACCTGGGCAGAGTAAATAAATCGAGGCTTGGGTTACCCGGCACCGGCGGCACGTCGGAGGCGCTGACAAGTGCGGGCAGCTCCTGCTCTCGGCACTGCCCGGGGCCTCGCCTGGCAGCACCCCCGGGGCGGGCACGGGACCCTCGCCCCGACGGGGCCCTGCCGGTGGCATCCAGGTCACCCAGCGGCCGGGACCCCCCGGGCCACCCTGCCCCGAGGATGCCCAGCCCAGTGGCAGCGCTTCGGAAGCGTCTCGGCCTCCCCGAGCAGGGATCCCGGTTTGGGGGAGTGAGTCCCAGGGGATGAGGGCTCGGAGCGCCCCGCTCTCAGGAGGGGGACGCCGGGGCGACCCAGCTGCCGGTGGCTCAAGAGTCCCCTTGTTCCGCGTCCAGGGATTTCCTGGCTGGAGCCTCTGGCAGCTGCGTCGTCTCTCCCCAGGGCTCCTCGGCGCTGCGCCCACTTCGCAGACGGGGAAACTGAGGCAGGCGGTGGGGCCGGAGGCGGGAGCGAGGGAGGGAGGGCACGCCGAACGCAGGTTTCCTTGTGGGCGCCCCGCTGAGTCAGCCCGGCCGGGGTGGGGCCTTGCTCCCGCAGCGCCCGGACCGGGATAACGGAGGAAAAAGCGCTTTGCATATTTGATTAAACCCGGCAGGTCGCCACCGGGCCGGTTGCGAAATGTGGGAATGCTGCGGGGCCCCCCGCCCGGAAGGGAGGCGGGGGAGCGCCTGCCGGGGGGCAGGTGAGGGGGACGGGAGTGGGACGGGAACTTCGGCACGGCCGGGATGGAAAAACGGGGCGTCTGAGGGCTGCCGGCTGAGCTGGACCCACACCCGAGAGGGATGGGTCCCCACGGCTCGATATCTTTGGGTGCCTGGAACTGGGATCATCCTTGGAGGATGTTCTGCGACGTGGTCCCCGTGGGCCATCATCGTCCCGTCTCGGTGCCCACCGTGACAGTGGCCTCTCTCCCCACACAGGTGTCGTGCCCTTCATGGCCCTGCTCCTGCTGCAGCGGCGGCCGGTGGCCGGACGGGCACTGCTGGTCACCGGCTCCAGCTGCCCCGGCCACGGCTTGTGCCGCTCCAACGTGCAGGAGCAGACCCGCAGGCAGGTCGCGCTGCTCAACGCCACCGCCCAGGACCTCTTCAGCCTCTACGTAAGTGACGCTCCGGGACACAGGGGACCTCAGGGGAGTCTGATCCACAAGTGCATGGAGGGGGAGTGCTGGGGACACGGTGGGGATGGCGGCAAGAGGTGGCCAGGAGGGACACAGGGGACATGGGGTGACGCTCACCTCTCCCCCCAGCTGAAGTGCCAGGGAGAGCCGTTCAGCAGCGAGAGCGACAAACTCTGCAACCCCACCGGCATCTTCTTCCCTGCTTTCCGTGTCAACCGGACGAGCGAGAGGAAGGAGGTGATGGTGGCCATGTACAAGCTCTTCGCCTTCCTCAACGCCTCGCTGGGGAACATCACGCGCGACCAGGAGGAGCTCAACCCCACGGCCAAGGAGCTCCTCGACCGGCTCCACAACACCACCAAGACCACCCGGGGCCTCATCTCCAACCTCACCTGCCTCCTCTGCAAGAACTACAACATATTCCAGGTGGACGTCAGGTACGGGGAGAGCTCCAAGGGCAAGAGCGCCTTCAAGAAGAAGCAGCAGGGCTGCCAGGTGCTCAGGAAGTACGTGCAGGTCATCGGCCAGGCAGCACGTGTCCTCCTACCTCATCTCAGCCCCTCATGAGCGCCCACCCCGGCTCCGCTGCTTCTCCACTGCTGGTGGCTCCTGCCGCTGCCTCCCCAACTCCCGCCTTCCTATTTATTACCCCGGACCCTGCGCTGGCCCCATCCGTCCTCTGGTAATTTATTGCCCCTTGAGGGGGTGAACATTGCAGGCCGGAGTGTCCCGGGTGGAGCAGGACCGGGGCCAGCATCCAGCGGGACGAGGCAGCACATCCCCAGCACATCCCCGAGGTGATGCCGGGGCGTGTGCTGGTCCCGGGATGTGCCTCAGCCATCCCTGTGCTCGCAGGGGGTGTGGGGAGCTGTGGGAGCTGTGGGAGCTGTGGGGGCTGGCGGCAGGGCTGGACTCTGTCCCCCACGGACGGTCCCCATCATGGAGAGCAGCCTGATGGACACCCTCGAGCACCGTCTGAAAGCTTCCACTTCCCCAGAAAAAGGATTGTGAGGAAGGACACCGCGGTGCAGCGGCTGGCAGGGACACGGGGACATGGGGACACGCTCCCCCTGCACATTTTAAGGATCCACAAGGAGCCGAACTGGGGGTACTTTGGTGGCTGTGGCGGCTGGGGCTGGGTCCCACCATCCAGGACAAGGCCACCCCCTGGGGACAGAGCGGGCAGTCACCCCACTGTGGAGCATCATCCCCCCGCGCGGGCACGGCTGGGGCATGGAATGTCCCTCTCCTTTGGAAAAGTGCTTTTCCCATCGGGAGGGCTCTGAATGTACCAATGGCCAAGGGCTGGGCTCCTACGGCTGAATGCAGCCTTGGCATGGGGGGGGTGGGACAAGGGGTGTGGGACACAGGGACATGGGACACGGGACAGGGGCCATGGGGACAGGCCCCAGGCCGGTGGCAGGAGGTGCTGGATCGCTCCTGGCACCAGAGCAGGTTGTGAGGGTTATTTATTGCCTCAGTGGAAAGCCCAGTGTGCGCCGAGAGCTGTGACCTGAATTAATAATTTTATTCTTAACAATAATTAATAATTATTAAGAAGATTTGTGGTAATATATAAAATGGAATTCTATTTAAATATTTATTTTTTTATACTTCTTTGGCCCTTTTTTTAAAATAAACCAACAGAAACAGATTGCATTTGGCTACTCTTTGCCAGGTCCCCTTTGTGCTCACTCTCAGACACCTCTGCTCCCCTGAAACCCCCTCAGGCATCTCTGGGGGCTGGGGGTCACAGTCTCCTGTCACCTTGCTCCTTCCTCCCTTCCCATTTCCTGTGGGATGCCTGATTTGGAAGGCTTTTTTCCAGGGGGAATGCTTAAACTGGCACTCACCAGCTGCTTGAAAGCACCAGGAGGGTCTAAGGAGCATTGTGGTGTGGGGACCACCGTGGTGGGGGGATCGTAGCAGGGTGGTACAAGGGAGCATCACAGCGTGGGGACCATCTTGGTGTGGGGACAGTCATGGTGTGGGGACCATGGCAGTGCAGGGATCGTCATGGCATGGGGAGCACTGTGGTGTGGGATCATCACAGTGTGGGACCATCACGGTGCAGGGAGATCATGGCATGGGGAACATCCTCGTGTGGGCACCACGGCAGTGTGGGGACCATCGTGGCACAGGCACCATCACGGTGCAGGGAGCCCCACGCTGGCAATGCTGGCAGTTCCTGGGGGTACAGGGAATCACCGAAGCCGGCTGGGAAGAGGCAGAGGGAGTTGAGAGAGTATGTGCAGGGTGGAAGGGACACACCAGATAAAATCAGAGCCGCTTCCCAGGCAGTGCTGGGAGAGGCTCAGCAAAGCTTCACCGGGGCCAAGACCACCTAAGGCTCCAGCAGTGCCCCGGTCCTCGGCGAGCGTCTCGCATGGGGCTGTATCGGTTAACAAGAGCCTGATTATACAGGAGACGTTAGAGCAGGATGATGAAATTTTCCTCCTCCTCCGGAGCCCTCGGGCCACCGGCCAAACCTCCCAGGCATGAGACAGCAAGCGGATGAGCTAAGATCCTGTGTGATCATCTCTCGTGTCTCGGAGGAGCCCCAACCAGAAAATCATTGCAGAAATTCAAGAGTTGCCCCCAAACCCCCTCTTTCTCTGCCCCACAGGGTCGTGCTGCCCGGTTGTACCCCCCAGCTCCCACGGGAGGTTTCATGGCCTGGGTTTGACCCCAGAGTGACACCACCTTGTGCCAATGGCAGCCTCATCCTGCAGCAGTGGTGACAGCAGGGACAGCAGTGCCCACCTCCAGCCTGTCCCTACTGTCCCTTCATGGCAGGGGTGAGCTCCAGAACAGCACCAGCTCTCCTGCCCCACAGCAGAGGCACACAGGGATATCCAAGGATGCCATGGTGTGTCCCCAGGCATGATGTGGTGTTCTTCCATCGCCCCAGCCTGTCACCAGGGAAGGAACCCCGGATGTCACTGGTGCCCCCGCCCTGAAGGGTGCCCGTTTCTGGATCACAGCCCATCATCATTTTGTGGGGCCCGTTTCCTGCCTGCACCATGGAGATACAATGCCCCCAAAGCAATACAACCTTCCCAAAACACAGGGATGGGTGAGGGCACGGATGGGAGAGCACCATCCCTTTGGAATGGGCATTGTGCCCCAGGGAAACGTCCTGCAGTGTTTGCTGGCTGCCAGGGTCCTGTGGCTGGGGACACCCAGGTGTCCCCATGGCTATTGCTACCACAACATTGTATGGCCAACATCTCACAGGCTGGAAGTCCAGGGCTGGACATCCGGGCTGAGCCTGTTTGTGTGTCGATTATCCACACCTCACCCTCACCAGGGACGTGGCAGGTGCCCAGGGGTGTCACCAAGCTGTCCCTGGGGGCTCGAGGGGTGTCAGGACCCGGGGCTGGAGTCGGGCTCAGCGGGGCGGGGAGCTGGGCTGGGGACTACGGGAGTGAAGAGCTGTGCACATCTGGATTTCTCACGCTTGTGTTAACCGTCCCTCCTCAACCAGATGGCAAAAATAAATAAATAGAATAAATCACAGCCTCCTGACATAAATCGGGAACTCACGCCCGGGTTCTGCGTTTCATGAGCCTCCCTGGAAGACAGTCAAACACAGGCGAGGACAATGGGTTCACTTCTCCCCTGTGTCGGGTCATTCCCAGTTAAGGCTCATTAGTGGCGGGCGGGGAATTAACTCTTCCTTCCCTGGAAATGCGTGGACAAGTCCCTAAAGTCCCCCAAATCCCTTCCTTCGTCCTCCCCTGGCGTTTTGGAGCCGGGGCTGGCGGCGGCCCCCGCCTCGTGCCATCGCCTCAGCGAGCCAGGACGAACTGCCCTGCTCGTCCCAAACTCGGGGGAGATGGAAAGGGCTCCAATGACCTCAGCCAGAGGCTGATCCCACCCAGCCGGCGCCCCGGGGCAGCGGGCCAGCCCCGCCAGCCGCACCGGCAGCACCGGGAAGGAACCGGCGCTGTGGCTTCCCCAGAGGCACCGGCAGGACCCTGTCAGTGATCCCCCTTCAGCCCCAGGAGCAAAGAAACTGTTTTGGCTGGGCCGAGAGCCAGGAGGGGCTCCGGGGAGCCATCCGCTGTGATGGGAGCGATGCCCGCGCCCCGATAACGGAGCGGCCTGACCATGGGCCCCGAGCGGCGGGTCAGCGCTGCCTTCGGGGAGCGGGATACGTGAGGAGCTGCTCCTGCCCGCGGTGAAGTCAGTGCCGCTGCCTGGGTGTGACTAACTGACCTCAGCCCTTGGCCCCGCGGCGCGGATCATGTGCTGCCTGACGCCGCGAACCCGGCCGGACGGGTCCCTGCCGTGCCCCGGGGCCACCGGCCGGACGGGACTTGCCGTCCGCGGGGGCAGGTGCGGGGCTGGGGCACCACCAGCCTCACATCCCCTCTGTGGGGTGGGCAGAGGGTGACCTGAGCTGCATCCCCGGGGACTGAGCCAGCAGGAGCATCCCACCCGCGGCAAAGCCCACCGGCAAAGCCGGGGATGGCAGTTCCCTGAGAGAACGCAGTTGGAGCATCCCGCCTTCCCCTGTGTGCACCCAGGCTGGGGTCGGACCCGTTGGTGCTCACAGTAGAGCCCCTTCCCTGTCTGGAAGGTCCCCTCAAGGCTCGGGATTGGGGACAAGTGTTCAACCAGTAACGATCTCCCCAGCAGGTCCCTGAGGATGGGAACATTGCATCCCAAGGGCTGGCTGGAGGCTCTCCCGCTCCATCGCAGGCTGGCCGCTGGCCCGGGCACGGAAAGCAGAGCAGGGCCCATCTGAAACGCATTCGGGCACTGTTGCTGCAATAGCAGATGCTCCTGCGGGTCCGTGGCCACATCACAGCCCGGCCCACGGGAACCGCACGTTCACATGGGAAGAAACAGCCCTGGTCCCAAACGGCTCAAACTCCTAATTGGGGACCAACCGTGACAAATAAACAAGACAATGGGCTGGAGGCGAGATGAACGCAACCTCTGTCGCAGGCCCCGGCTCCGAGAGCCGCCCCCGTGCCCGGCAGGGGACTTGGCACGGGCCTGCAAGAGCCAGGGGGAGGGCAGGGCCGGATCCGGACCCCCCGGCAGAGCCACTCGCTGTGTGACACCTCCAGGGCTCGGGGCTGGCTCGGGAGCAGGATGACACATCCCCAGTGGTCCCCTGAGACCTGTGTCGGCAGCTTTGCTCAGCAAGTGTTTAGTCTCATGGTGAGAGAGCTTGGAACAGGGTCAAACCCAGCCCTGTGGAGCTGCTGGAGAGGCCTCTCCTTCCTGCACCCCAACTTGGGGAACATCCATTCTTTGCACAGGGTGCAGGGGACCCTTCTCCATCACCCTCCCTCCTGCCTTGGAGTGATGCCTGGGTATTTGATGGAGGGGTTATGTCAGCACAGCTATTGCCCTCCAACAGAGACAGGGGCACCTCCACAACCCTGGGTGTGCTTGGCACCGATGGAGGAGCCTTGATAAAGTGCTCAGCACCCAACCAGACCCACAGCAGGCAGAGCACCCACTCATCAGTGTCTGAAAGGGAGTGAACAACTGGCTCTTCCATCCCTGCTCTGCTTGGATCTCATGTGACATTGTATCTCCCTTGCAGGCCCTGAGCCCAAAGCCCAAACCCAGCAGGACCTGTGGGGTTGAAGTTATTTGAGGCACATCTGTTTAACAAAGGTGTTTCAGGTGGCTTGAACCCATCTCATTCACAGCCAGGAGGGGAAAATCAGGGCTCAAGGGGAAGATACCCAAGGAAAGGGAGGGAAGTTGGGGATGAGGCAGAGTGCTGGCAAGGGTGAAGAGCTGGGAAGCAAACTCTGAGCAGGCTCCCAGAGGTGCAGGTAACACTAGGAGAGACCCATTGGGACCCTGGGGATGGTGGGGAAGGACTAAGTGGGAGCTGTGGCAGCTCCCCAGGGTCCCCAGAGCCAGGACAGCACAGCATGGCTAAGCAGGCAGATGACACTGATGCCCCTGTGCCCCTCCAGTTGCCACAGCTGGTGGTCTCTGGCCCTGTAGGGCAGAGGGGGTCGTGTCACCTTTGGCTGCACACCAGCACGGCTCTGGGGGAAGATGAGCCCTGTCATCACTTTTCCCATCGAGACAAACTCAGAAAATTAGCAAAACTAGAGGAGACTCCTGGAGAAAGAGAGAAAAGAAAAGCAGATTTCTCTTGATGTTAAAGGAGAGATGGCAGTAGAGAACAGCCCTGGCCAGGCCCAATCTGCCTGTCCCCACACTGCCCATCTGCCCTTTGCTCTCCCCACACTCTCCGACCCCAGAGAGTGGTGGCACCTTCAGCCCAACGGCACCACAGGGGGAGAGGGGGATGCTCCCAGCTAAAACTGGGGGATATCCCAC